GGAGAACGTTGGTACTCGGAAAGTACTCGACTACAACACTGCCTGCCACATTCATTTTTAGAGCAGTATTTCTCAAAGGATGTGATTGGAAGAGCTTTTTCTCAATCTGCAGAAATGGCTTCTTGACACTGCAGTGACCTCAAACCTCAAGTGCCATCAACAATCAATTTTGCAGACTTTCTTATACACAGCTCCCACCGTGCCTTGTGCAATCGCCTTGCTGGTTGAACTCTGCAGTACAAATTATCACCGTGTGATCTCTCAGTATCTCTCGGTGTCTGTTTCATGTAACTCAATTCATTACCAGAAGAAGCGAAGAGCTCCTCTGACAAGTACATGAAGATCATTGCTAATCAAAATCTGAGAAAATGCCAAGCTTCCTTGACAATTTGGCCACATATCTACATGTAAAGTATTCTGAGAATCTAAGTCTGTGATTATTTTGATGTAAAAAATGCACAGATTTAAACTGATTGAAAAATAATATCGTTTAGTGACTGTATATTTGGTTCATTTTCAAGTTGTAAAAAGTGACACCTTGAACTTGTTCTTACTGTTTGTTTTATTTCATCAGGGTAGCCTTGACACTGCTTTACTATTCAGTCTTCAAGGCCTTAACAATGCACAAATAAGTAACTTAATGAATGTTAAAAGATGAATAACTATGTGAAATAGATAAAATTATCAAGTATGAATAAAGTAATATCAATTCAGTAGCGTTAAAATTGTTTATTTAAAACCACCAACAAATGTACTACAAAATATTAATAAATCAATTATATGAACGAGCATCATGAGACTATTGGGTATATGAAGCGCCACAATTGAAATGAAATTAAAATTAATAAAACCAGTGAACAATATACAGCTAACTATAGAAACCTTGTAATTTGACAGAATTCAACATGCAAACAAGTAGTTACTAGAAATGAATAAAATGAAAGCTCAGTAACACAGGAATATTGAGAGGTCTTAAATACTAGGACTATGAAGTGAAGATTTAAATAATGACATTTAATTAAAACGATGAAAAGAAAAGTATCTGTTTATACATGTACATGAAAGTGTTTTCAAATGAATGTTGTAAAGTCAGCAATTTTGTAGTTTACTTTTTCAAAAGGGATTCAAATGGGCTTTTTATTCATAAATTTTTCTCATATTTTGATATGGATTTTTATACATGTATTAATTTATTGGAACTATTGGGTCTTTTTAATGATTGTGTCTTTCTTGCTTTTCATTTAATTTGGCAGTGTTGCCATGGGTAATTTTGTTATGCATTTTAAAAATTATTTTGACTATTGATTGTTTGATAGTTTAATTTGTCAGTATACATATTGCATGCTCTACTCATTCTTGAGGAAAGTCATGCAATACAGATTTTAAAGTTGCTTTGCTTCACTTAATGTATTTAAGTGATAAGTGATTTCTCATCAGTCCAGTAAATTGGGTAATTGTTTCTTGAATTTCAGACTGTTCACTCTTTTATCGATCCGAACCGTGACAGTGTTTTCCAAGTGTTGAAAAGGGTGGGTTAGGGGTGTGGTTAGGGTGGGGGGTGGACAAATCAAGTGGAGGCAAAGCCCCTAATTCCGGCTACAAGAACGTGACTGTCTCTGTAACTTTACTGTCGTGATTGGTACAAAGGTAGTCCAGTAGCCCGGAATGTAGGCTGGTTGGTGGGTGGGTCATATGGTTGGAAGCAGTTTTGTTCCTCATTGTTTTTTTAGGCAGATTTAAAACCAATGAGGAACACAACTGCTTCCAACCATCATATTTGCCTGAAAGGACCCCCACATTTATTTCAGCAAGCCTCCAAGGTAAATGATTCTAGAAATTTTATTTTTTTGTCCATTAACATCAAAATGACTATGAAGACAATGAAAACGAAACACTAATATATTTCATTATTTAGCATATCAATGACGCGCAAGCTGGTCTAAACTTGAAGCAGGGTCACATTGTCATAATCGCATATTAATGTCCATCCATATGATGGCTAGGATATTGAGTGAACTCTGTTTTTATGTTTCTGCACCAAGGTATAAAAAGTAAATAATGGTGAAATTCCTTGTTTAATTTCATGTTACAAAATACAGAAGAAATAATTAAAATGCAGTTTTTCGAAAGGAAATTAGTATTGTAGCCTTCAAATATATTTTCATGTTCAAGGTTGTCACCCATAAAATGCAGGCCGGGACGACCAGATTAATATTTTGAAAAAGCTGTTGAAGTATTTCAATGCTTTGTTTCACTTATGTATAGAAATATAAATGTATGTATGGAAACTTCAAATTCATAAGTCGTACAGTCGTACAAATTCGAAGTCGCACGCATAAGTTCAATTGCGAAAGTTGATAATAAAACATACGACATAACTGTGTTACAAGTCGCACGTATAATATTTAACTCGTACGCACGATTTTGTCTGGTCTGGAATAATTTGTAAGACTCCCGCATAAAACAAAACACATTACCACACACCGTCATGGATGCGGACTGTGTCTAAAACCTGCCACAAAAACGTAGTGTATATAAAAAATAGTTCACTTGGAAGCCATTGCCTATTCTCTGTGCATTTTTTAACAAATAGTTTTGCCAAATAGCTGAACGTCCAACTGATATGCTATTAAAATTGCTAAGAATGCAGAGGATTGCAGTGGATATCTCTTGCACGTTTTGTGAACGTTTTTCTATAGTCAATTACAGAGTGAAATATAATCATACGTGCAAAACAATACTTTTAAATTTGTATTGCGAGATCTCATTACAATAATCAACTATATGCATTACAAAACAATAAAACAGGACGAGTACAAAATACGAATCTAACCGATCTAAAGACGTTCAATGAATGAGCACAATTAATCAAATACACCAGCACCTATAAGCAGTTAATGAAAGGGAAATTTTAATTTAGTCCACGAATAAGAATGTTGAATGACACGAGGCAACGTATTCCACAATTCTCACACTGATGACGAAAATGATGTGTCCATGATGAAACTCCAAATAGGCCTATACCTTTCAGTGCAAACAGAATCGGATGATTTGGAGAAAACTACATGTATCATCAAGGAATTTCAATACTACTATGACAAAATAGCAAAATGTAAGCATAAAATTCTTCGTAGGTTGCTCCATCTGTTACATTGTTAGTAAAGAATTCTTAGTAATCTCGATTTCAGCCTTATTTAATTAATTCGGCGGCTATAATGTAATTTCTTATATTACCAAATGAAAACTGGAATTGTTCTTCATCTATTCAAAAATGTATCATTAGATTACAATGTTATTTTTGTTTACATTTACATTAAAAAACATAACTAGTTTTTCGTTATTGAATAAAGAATGAGAAACGATATGTTTCTCTTGAATGTTGGATTTTTTTGCCCTGCCCAGCGTTTATTGTAACACTGTAGGCCTATACCGGTACTCAGTGTTTACCCAAAAGCTCGTGAAAAAAAATCCCACAAGCGTACTCAGGTAGGACTTCAACCCACGAATTCCAGCCAGCCGATCGCGACACCGGCAAGCTCAGTGGTCGAGTGTTTAAGACATCTGCACTAGTGAGCAAGAAAAAATCCTTCCTTAGAAATAGACATGTTTCTCGCTTATCAACTCTCATTTGGAAGTGTGAAAAACCAAACGAGAAAAGACATTCTCGCACGAAACGTACACAGACCGTGAGGTCTTACACACGACCATTTGCGTATTTGCAAAGTTGAAATTTCGTGCATTGTACTATGCTGTCCGAGGAACGGTGAGCACGTGGTCCTGAATGAAAGACTTCCTCACGGAGTTGTAATGACTCGAGTCAATGACTCGGCTTAAGTCCGACTCGAGTCACAATTTGGCGACTTGACCGAGTCCAACGGATAAATGACTTGACTCGAGTCCTTCATCAGAAGACCTGACTTTAGTGAAAATTAATCAAACTCGACTTCCAAAAATAAAATCAAACGTCTTTGAGAAAAACAAATATTGCAATGACTTTAAGGGCCAGTTTATAATGTCCACGTCCTGTTATAACCATCAAGGGTAAGACGTCAAGAGCAAGATGTGGTGTGACCACAAGTAGTAACCGAGAAGTAAATTTAAAAATGCCCAGCGAAGAATTACTTTCTCTTTTGTTTTTATTTATAGTATTGTGTTCCAATATTTGTGACTAGAATTGGTTCGAACTAAATACTTGACTCGACTTTCTTGCGTAACTCGAGTCACTACCTCACAATGATTGGATTCGACTCGAGTCACAAAAATTGGTGACTCGTTGCAATGAAACTCTGCTTTCTGGGCGATCGCGAGGATTCAGCTTGCTCTGTGAAGCTAACCTGCAAACTAACGGTTGGAAATGAAGCTTTTGCAGAACACCTGTACCGCATTCCCGTATAATTCTCCACAGCTCTTCTCAGGGGAGAGGCGAGGTTGTGCAAATACTTTGGCAAATGTTTCCCTGTGGCTTTACCATCCCGTCAGAACTAGAGGACTGCGTGGCTAAGTTTCCACTTCCAGAGGTGGATTGATCCAACCATAGGGCTCTGTCTTTGGTTCCCTTGTCTCCCTTAATGCGTTTACTGGGACGTAGATCACAGAGTGGGAAGTTGGGCAAGGGGTGGACCACTCTGTCGTCAGGCCCACTCAGCCAGGTAAGATGCAAAAATGCCGCCGACTTTAGGTATTCTTAAACGTTCCCGTAGCCAAAAAGTA